CGTGCCAAAAGGATCCAAGGGCTGGAGCCCCTCTGCTGCAGGGCCAGGATGGGAGAGCTGGGGGTGTTCAGCCTGGAGAAGAGAAGGTTCAGGGCAGAGCTGAGTGCGGCCTTGCAGGGCTTCCCGGGGGCCCATAGGACAGACGGGGACAATCTTTTTAGCAGGTCCAGCTGTGACAGGACAAGGGGGGATGGTTTTAAACCAAACCAGGGCAGGTTTAGACTGGAGCTGAGGAAGAACTTCTTGACCCTGAGGGTGGTGAAACCCTGGCAGGGGTTGCCCAGAGAGGGGGTGGAGGCCCCATCCCTGGGAACATCGAAGGCCAGGTTGGCCGGGGCTGTGAGCAACCTGATCTAGTTAGTGATGTCCCTGCTCCTGCAGGGGGGTTGGACTAGATGACCTCTAGGGGTCCCTTCCAACCCAAAACATTCTATGATTCTATGAACTGGACCCAGTGCTCCAGGTGGGGTCTCCCCAGGGCAGGGCAGAGGGGCAGGAGAACCTCCCTGGCCCTGCTGGCCACGCTCCTCTTGATGCACCCCAGGATGCCATTGGCCTTCTTGGCCACCAGGGCACCCTGCTGGCTCATGGTGAGCTTGTCGCCCACCAGGAGCCCCAGGTCCCTCTGGGCAGAGATGCTTTCCAGCAGCTCAGCCCCCAGCCTGTCCGTGTGCATGGGGTTCAACCTCCCCAAGTGCTGCACCCAACACTTGGCCCTGGTTGAACTTCATCAGGTTCCTCTCCACCCAACGCTCCAGCCTGCCCAGGTCCTGCTGGATCAGCCCCTCCCAGTGGATCAGCCACTCCTCCCAGTTTGGTGTCATTGGTGATGGCCATCGAGGTGAGGGCCCTGAGGCCCTCCACCAGGGTTCTGGCTCCGTCAAGGCTCTAGCTCCATCAACATTTTGGCCCCATCAAGGTTCTGGCTCCCTCAACGTTTTTGCTCCACCAGGGTTTTGGCTCCGTCAAGGTTCTGGCTCCACCAGGGTTCTGACTCCATCAACGTTTTGGGTCCCTCAACATTTTTGCTCCGCCAGGGTTCTGGCTCCGTCAATGTTTTTGCTCCACCAGGGTTTCGGCTCACTCAAGGTTCTGGCCCCATCAAGGTTCTGGCTCCACCAGGGTTTCGGCTCCACCAAACCCTCCCAACAAGGAGCTGGGATGAGATTTTCCCCCCCAGCCAACTTTGGGACCTTCTCTGTCCCAGCTGATCTCATGGATAGGGCCCACCAGTCCTTACACCACCCGTAGAGCCGAGATGCCCCCTCCCATGAAGGCTGTGGAGATCCCCTCACCGCGGGGAGGCCCAGCCCCTGCCCCAGGAGATGACGCAGAGCTCCAGCGCACCCCGTGCTGGTCCTCCATGGATTGG